TTTTTTTTTTTGTAAAGTCTGACCAGTGTTTAGTCATAAATTTATTAATTTTTAAGACAAACTAATAATTTGATGAAATGTGCTATTTTGACACTGCAAGTTTCGTGCTTACATAGTAGGATAAATTCAGTTGATTGATTTTGATAAGCATTGATTTTAAGTTTTGTACATCTTCGAAATACTATTGATCTTTGAAATCCTACTATTAGATGTGAAGATATAACATGTTTTCTAAAAAGTGTACTGCTTTCATATTTCGCTCATTTTCGCCCATTACATGTGTGAGTCAAGCTCACGATATTCCCGACGATAATGTGTTACAATAAAACACTTGACGTTTTATAATTAAAAATTATATAGCTAAATAATCGACTATATATATTTCGTGCTTATTAAACTTTCAACTTAAAGATATACTTAAAAAAAAAAAAAAAAAAAGAATTTAAATAAACGTTACTTAGAAAATGTAGTCTGCGTCAATACTTCAGTTCAATAGTATTATTTGTATAATAAGTGTATGCAATACACGTATAAAATGAAACGTGTTTACAGAAAAGATCGGCAAAACTGGTTACTTAAAAAATGTTCATGTTTTTTTTTCTCTCTCTCTCTCTCTCTTTGCATAATTTGTATAAGAGTGGATCGAATGAAGTATGAAAAAAGAAAATATCAATGTATATGAAAAAAAAAAAATAAAAATAAAATAAAAATACTTCATCATCGTAGGCGTTAGAATTGAGAGAAGCCATCGTACTTTGTAATAAGAAAAAAAAAAAAAGGAAAACAAGGTAATAAAAATAATAATAATAATAATAATAATAAAAAACAAATGGAAGAAGAAAGGAATATTCTTGTTCATTCCCATCGACAATTCCAACGTTCGTTTCGTTTCGTTTCGTTGGTACGTTCGTTCGTTCGTTCGTTCGTTCGTTCTTCTTCTTTTTCTTTTTCTTTCGTTTAAATCGTTACTCGTGTCGTCGAGTCATCGCGGCAAATGTTTATTCGCCGGTATATACTCGGAGCAAACTTATCTCACCTTAATGACTTTGGCAAACACATGCGAGAATCGACGACGCGCGACATCTCCTCTAGCGCGAGTAACGCAGTCGGAAAATAAAACTCCACTCGAAAGAGGAAACCATGAAGGTGGAGGAGGAGGAGGAGGAGAAGAAGGAGGAGGAGGATCGTGATAAAGAGAAGGAAGTGGAATGAGACGATAAATAAAAAAAAAAAAAAGAAAAAAGAGGATATTGCATGAACGTATAATAAGTATATAAATACATATGTATATACAAACGGTACGATAAACGCTTGATGACCAATCTTTACTTATTCCTTCTCAAAATGTTAACGTAATATGTCATAAATTTAATTTTCTTTTTCTTTTTCTTTTTCTTTCAGTTTTTTTTTTTTTTTTTTATTCATTTTTATAAATGACAAAAAAAAGTGGAATCATATTATATTTATGAAACATAGTAATTAAGTTAAAAATGGAGAGATGTCAGAAAAAAAATCAAAATATAAATATAATAAATAATAATAATAATAATAATAATAAAATAAAGATAATATATTATTTTTTTATATAAAAAATTTAAATATAAATACAATAAATATAATATAATATAATATTAATTAATATTAAGTTATTAATTATGAAATGTCTGATTACTCGGATTATTTTCATCTCTAAATCTGACATTTCATATTTAATGACCTAATATAATAATAAATAATAATAAAAAGATAAAATAATTAAATATAAAATAAAGATAATATTATTTTTTATTTATTATTTATTTATGTATACATATATTTTTATTTATGATTTTTATTAAACTTTACGTATTTTTACCTATAAACAAATCACAACGACATTGTTTCAAGCAAGACACGTTTATCGTATCACGTTACGTTATTATATATATATATATATATATATATNACGTTACGTTATTATATATATATATATATATATATATATATATGCAATATATACCACCTAAGTTTTACTTTACGATATTATAAAAAAAAAAATCTTTAATAATTTCGAATGGCAAAGATTATTTACCTGTTTGTGCATCTCGACGTTGAGTCCGTACGACATCTCGTAATACTGTAACAAACAAAATACAAAATAAAAATAAAATATATATATATATATAGATACAACAAGTTTATCTTTTTATTCTACAAAAATTGCAAGAAAGAAAATAATGAAAAAGATAGAAATAGAAGAATTACACACATACAAAGCAAAAAAAAAAAAAAGAAAAAAAAACCACGTTGAATGAATTTTAATTTTGAAGAGAATTCGAGACGTTTCTCGACTCTAATTACACTCTCTTCTTAGTATCTCTCTCTCTCTCTTTCTTTTTTTCTCTCTCATGTAAATTGATAGGACGACTCGTGTCTCGTTTATTCGTTTCTCTATGTATTTACATATTTATTCGCGCGTACGATGGCAATGTGTATGTAAGCAGCAAGTAGTATTACCTGACTACGTTTCTCATTCGCTACGTATTTGGTAAACGGCACTACGTTCACGACTTAATTAGAAAGCGAGAAGAGATATCCTCTGTCTCTCTCTTTCTCTCTCTCTCTCTCTCACTCTCTCTCTCTCTCTGTGGCTAGTTACGAGCTAATATATATATATATATATATATATACTTCGAAGATTTCAAATCTAGTTAGTAATTGATTTTTTTCATGTACAAACGTGCGACACATTTTCATATTTAATTCCAATTGAAATGATCGTAAGTATTGTCAAGTACAAAATTAGATAACGCGAATAATTTATTAAATGATTTTGTATTTAACGAAGAGAACGTCCTTCGAATCGAATGACTTTCTTTTTTAACTGTACGAAACGTAATTGCACAAAACAACAAGAATAATCTCAGAACCACCACCACCACCAACACCACCAACACCACCACCATCAACACTATCATCACCCAACACTACCACAATTACTGGCAGTAGTGGTTTTTGCGGTTGTCCTTGTTTAACTTTCTCCTCATTTCTTCTTCATCTCTCTGTCTCAGTCTTTTTCTGAACCGTTTAACACGGCAAGCATTAGCAGAGCAAGGTAACTATAACAAGTTAGTAACAAAACAACACTGGTACCAATTTAACATCGTTTTCTAGATCTACCCCAAGCCTCGAAAGGTTTCTTATTATCGAAAAAGAATAATTTTCCTTATACGAGTCTTCTTCTGCTTCTTCTTCTTTTTCTTTTTCTTTTTTTTTTCTTTTTCTTTTTTTTTTCTTTTTCTTCTTTTGCGTGTATGAACTCGACCGAGTCCGTACAAGGAAATCATTAGTCACAGAGAAACAAGATAGTTGGATGATATTAGTAGTAGTTATAATAGTAACAAAGTAGAAGACTAATACTATACCTAGTTGCATCGTTTACGTAATAACGTGTTATTAATTATACTTTAATCGCAATAAATTATCAGGTAGTGCATAAAGAAAAGTAGGAGGATAAAGGTTGAATAAAAGTATGCTCCAATTGTACCACTGACGTTTGGTCAAATAGTAATTCTTAACATTTTGATACAATTTTAAATTAACAATATTGGTTAGTGCAATCAATTTCTTTTTTTTTTTTTGTTAATACATTTCCTAAATTAATTTCTTAAGTACTTAATTATTTGAAGATTTTTATTATTAAATATATTTATATATTTAATTGGTTACTATTTGAAATAATATGCAAAAGTAATATACATTTTATTTGGGAATATATTTACATTGACGATATAAATATAAATTAATATATAAAAATAAATAAATTATAATATAAATAATTAAAATATATATATAATTTATATTAAATAAATATAATATATATTTAAAAAATAAATATTTAAATAATATATTAAAATTATATAAAAATTAATATAATTAATGATAATAAAAAAAAATATAAATTAAAAAATATAAATAAATATATAATTGTATACAAGCTTCTTAAATTCAGATGACGAGTCCCACTCGTCAAATGTACCCCCTCCCCCCCCCCAAAGGCTTAATATTCATTTATTAAATTTTATTAATCTCATGTAAAAACGTATAAAAATATTTTGTCTTCATTGAAATAAATGAAATCCAATCGATGTTAAATAAAATTATGAAAAATATAAAAGAAATGTCTTCTTCATATATTAAATTACACGTTTTATATATATATATATATATATATATATATATATATATATATACGCTTTGTTTTTTCTTAGGAGGTACGATTTCAGCAACCTTGCTATATATTATATGTCTATGATAGAAAGAAAGAAAAGAACTAGAAAGGAAGGAAGGAAGGAGGGAAGGAAGGAAAAGGAAGGAAGTAGCAAAACGCGTGCAGTGCACGTTCTCGAGTACTCGGCTTACAGATTCTTAATCTTACGGGCCATTAGCCCGGTAATTACACGGACGAATTAATTGCGTCGTAAGTAAGTTATTTCTCTCGCGAGAGAATCTAAGAGGAAACGGAGGAGGAGGAAACGAAGGAGGAGGAAGAAATGAAAGAGAAGTTAGAGAGAGAAAGAGGAGGAGGACAACGACGAGCTAACTAAACGAAGATAGTTGAGATCTAATAAAAAGAAAAAAAAAGAAAAAAAGAAAATGAGAACCTCCAACCTTTTCCAATTGCAGCAGAGTATCGATTAACGACTTTGACGGATCTCGTAGGCGTGAAGAATCATCTTCGTCGACCTTTCTTGTCGAACGACTAATAAGAAAAGAAAAGAAAAAAAAAGACGAAGAAAAAAAATGAAAGGGATCGTTAACTAGGTATCGGGTGTAATTAATTAATAATTATCGATGGGCAAGGTGTCGAGAAGAACGTTGATCGGCCTTTGAAATTATATAGAAATTTCTACGCGTGTATGTGTGTGTCTGTGAGAGTGTGTGTATAATATGAAGGAAGTGGGATGGGTGCCATAGCACGATTTGCAATAAGTCGAATTATGAGAGACAACGTGTTCGGTAGACTGTTAGAAGGAAAAAGAGAGAGAGAGAGAGAGAGAGAGAGAGAGAGGATGAAAGAGCAGAGAATTCTCGTTCGTGGTTCGCGTCGATAAATCTCTGCGCCGAACGTAGACTTCCTTTAACTACTACTACTACTACTACTATTACTACTACTCCACCAACTACATTTCCACCTCATCTTCTTCATCCTCCTCCAACTCCTGGTCGTCGTGTCGGCTCGTCCGCTTGATTAATCGTGTTTAAACTAGTCGCCTCCGCGCGCCAATTAAGTCCGTACAACGTTCATGCTCAAGAGAAGGGGGAGAGAGAGAGAGAGAGAGAGACGAACAAGAAAAACAAGATGGAGAGAGAGAGAGAGAGAGAGGATGAAGGAGGGTGGTAAATGAAGAGAAGGGTGGACGAGAATGGACACCCTTCTCTACCATACTTCTTCTTCTTCTTCTTCTTCTTCCTCCTACGCTTTACCTATTACCCATCGGCATCATCAACTCTTCCTGACACAAAACAGGAACACGTCGTGAGCCGAAAGCAAAACAGCAACGCTAATGTCGTACCTCCGATGTTACTTGCTTGCTTGCCTACTTGCTTGCTGCCACTGGGGCTCGTGAGGGACAACAATAAATTAGTATCGAGCCGTTGTGCACGTGGTGGCTAACAAGATCACGTACACGCGCTTAAAATATACACGTCGGTGTGACACAACTCGTACTCGGTGGTACTAGCACGCGCACGCGTGCGTGAGTGCGTGCGTGCTTTGAACATAGCAAGAGGTGGTTAGGGAAGATAGGTAGGTAGATAGATAGATGGATAGATAGACACAGATAGAGATGAAGATACCGCGATTCTGTTGAGAGAGATGCGTGTTGAAACGCGTCCCGCATATCGTCGCACGATGAATGTAGAATAGAACGCGATACGTTGCTAAGTAATTACGCGCGAACCATTAACCCCTCTCCTTGACTCGAGTCAAAGTATTAATTGCCTTCTCTGTCTTCTATCTCTCCTATCGTTGAACTTTCATAAACGAATCGTTCCTTTCTCTACGTATATCCCAATTCCTAGGATTCTATTCTCGATCTATCGAAATAGGTGATACATTAATACATTCTTAAATAAAAGAAAACAATTTATATACGATACTAGAGAAACAAATCGAAACGTGTCATTTAATGTTTTAATTATTTCAATGACGTTAATGATAGAAAATAATGAAAATAGTACACACGTGAAGATAAATGTGAGATGAATTGGAACGAGATAGCGGTTAAGTCTCGGATCGATAGATCGATAGATCGATAGACGTTTCCTATCGCGAGAATACCTTTGAAAATTGGCAGGTCAACTTGCACGAAAGCGATCCCACTGTTTTAGTGGGTTCGTTCGAACTTGGTAAACTTGACACGCGTATAGAGCACGAGCCAAACGTGTCGCAGTAGCTTTAGAACCAGAGCAACACCAGAACAGCATTCCCCCCTCCCTCCCTCCCTCCAACAACAACACACACATCTCCCACTTGCTTCCCTTTATTCTCTTCGTTGGCATCAAAGC